ATGCTTTGTTTAAGTCGAATCACATAAATATTGGTGTTCTATGTGTTGCTTAATCTTTCATTTTTTGCTTTGTGGCACATCATACTTTGCTCCTAAGGGCATTTCCACATTAAAGCTATATATTTTATTACACCAAATTATTAAAAAAAAGTGCATGAAGGAATTATAAGAAAATGAATTTTTGATGAAATGTACATTGTAAGATTTATTACAACAAATCAATAAAACATAAGTGATTTACCCATAAACCATCCGATTGAGAAATCATTTATGATGTAACGAATAATATTTCATTAAACTACTAGTCCTCACCTTAATTTAATGATAGGCCACACATAGTTGGGTTGATAAAAAAAAGATGAAGCATTCACCTAATAGCCCATACATAATTCCTTTCTCCTTTTGCCTCTCCTACCTTTGCTTCCCTCCGTTCGCTTTTTCCACTTTTTACTTCCAGCTTTCCCCCATTGTCACTGCCACCCATCACAGCACAACATTCAACATTTTTTGTAGATACATGATTGCTATCGGCCACCCTGGCCGCCACCACCCATTGGTGTTTGAGCCAGTTCAATGGTGTTTCTATTAAGTCAAAATGAAGTTTCATAGTGAATTTAAAAGAAATTGAGCAAGTTAAGCATCTTTTGAAAGCTGACTAGGGTGTAGCACTTTTAAGAGGTTAAAAGGTTTGAATACTATGTAGGTAATATTTGAAAATTATATCAACATAGATAGTCATTGTTGACCTTCGTATAATACCCGAAGGAAGACAAAAAACAACGACAAAAAAATACCTGTAAACCGTCGGATCCTCAAAACCTTGTCGAAATCACGCCGATTCGGCGCCGTTCGCGTCAAAACAGCCGCAAATCCTGCGACGTTGCCTCGATCGAACGACCACAAGCGTCGTTAAATAGAAGTCGAACGCCTCTCAGCTCTCGCCCACGCGATCGAGCTTCAGTCGCTACTCCCTCTCCGACTTCGCTCCTCACACGAAGCTCCTTCCACGCTCGTTCCACTTCCTTCCACGTTCCAACCCGACGCCTCTCCGTCGCCACTTCTGAACCCCAGCCGTCGTCTCTCTCCATCCCGAGCCCTTTACTTCTTTCAGTCCAGAGAAAAAGAGAGAGAGAGAGATCCTTACCTAGCTTAGCCGAGCTCCATCTCCTCGTCCAGCCCGTCGGCCTGTTCTTGAAGTCAGTGTACAAAAATATGTGCAACCAATTAACTAGAAAACCAAAGAAGACAACAAAATTTCAGTATGTTGCAGTGGAAATATAGCAAGATAAAGCAAATTATCATTATTCAAGAACTACTTATTTGGCTATCAATCTCTTAGAGTACCTTCCCCATCCATCCCAACGTGGCTGGTATGTCTCTCTAATTGGCACATCTGGGAATGCACATGAATAGCATGGAACTCCTTTGCCACCTGTAGTCTGGTACTGATTTGCATAGGTCAAGTCTCCAACCATTAAGATCAGAGACGGATCATTCCTGTCTAGATGAGTGATGGTGGCGGTTGAGTTGCTTGTAAGTCCTAGGTCTCCAACAACTGCTATTTTATGGGGAAATTTTTCACTGTGAGATGATGGAAAAGTTTTCAATGAATGTTCTTCACTCATAGCCTTTAACGAGGTGTCCCCGCACTTAAAATAGTACCTTGTCCCTGGTTTAAGGCCTATAAAAAACATGGAAAAAAGAATCAAGAAAACTTCAAGGCAACGTTTGAATGTGATTATTAACAAAGGATTCTAAAACAACTTTTATATGTTAGATGGAGAATGCTAGATAGCGTGCTGAAGCCAACGCTATGCCCAAATGAAGTTCCAAACTCTATAAATAGTAAGTTTCATATTATCATATACAAAAAATTTTCCCTTATTCTACTCTGGCAATAATTCCTGCAGCCAATCATAGATTGACTTTCCTCAAGCACCCTTAATTTGATCATTAATCAATCAACACTTAAATACAACTCCCTCACTACATCGGATAAATTTACTATGTAGTATTTACATTGACCAACATTTGTTTGGGACTATAAATTCCTATTTCATTGTGCACTTTTTTGAAACAAATCATAGAGTTCAGAATACTAAGGAAATTAAACCAAAAACTTTAAAAATTAATTATGGTACCATATATCCTACAAATTTTACTAGCTTATAGTCAAAACAACTACATCGACATGAAGATTTCAATGATACCAAAAATGCAAAAAAAAAGGATAGATATTGGCCTTAGTAAATTGTTCTGAAATGAACATGATTAGGCCAATCAAGGAGGCAAACTAATCTCCTGTCCTATCTTCCTCATGCATGTTAACCCTTCAACTGGATAGAGGACTAGCAGACCAACATCCTATTCCCTCGAGCAACATGTTCTTGGTGTCTCGATTTTGACATATTTCTTGCAATTAACCCAGCTAGTTGTTACATGTGGAATCTGATTGTGTTGATCAATTTGGTTATTATGTTGTCTCGGATCTCAAAGCTTGTTGTGTACACTGGGAGGTGTGGGGGGTTTACCCCAAGTTTGGGTTCGGATGCATCGCAACGATTTTTTTTACTGCACAACGCCCCGGCGTTGCTGCGTACCTGAGCACCCTGGTGTTGTGTTCTCGAGCACCCCAACACTGAACGACAAAGAACAGAGCTTCACAACGGTATAGATACGACACTGCAACAGTGCAAGTTAGAGGCTTGAGCACCACAACGCCCCAAACTGGCGCTGCAGTAATGCGAGACAGATTGGACGGTTTACTTTCTCGTTTTTTTTTTTAAGGGTTGCATCCCTTGGGATTATTTTACTTGGCTTTCTCTTGTATTTTGCATGTGTAGGCATTGAGAATAGTACATGTGAAAAGAGAAGCAATGGAGAGCAAGAGAGAAGAGATATTTGTACTTATTTCTCCCAATTTTCATCGTGGATTTGTTGGTGTAGTATGGCTCCGTAGTTTTTTTTTTTTTTTTTTTTTTTTTTTTTTTTTTTTTTTTTTTTTTTCTATTTTGAGTTTTTTCATGTTAAATCCTGATGTCATTTACTCTTCTGTTGCTTTTACTTTCTTACTCATTTTGTCATTGTGGTATTTACTCCTCATCATCCCCGACAGCTAGATATAAATATCTCTGAGTTCCTTTGATATGTTTAAGCTTTCATTTCATGAGTCTTTTAATATGGAGGATTACTCTCAAGGAGATCAATGTTTCAACATTAAAATGGTGGCCTATCATTGTTGCTTTTGGCTAACCTAAAGCTGATTCGTGAATGTTCTTGAAATAGATGTAGTCAATTAGACTGTCATAAGTTTGATATGTCAACTCTATTGGATCTTTGATATCAAAGTTTTGAAACAATATACTATGTTGGCTCATAAAAGCATTGCCATGAAGGGCCACTAGAATCTAGTTGACCACTATGGGAAACTTTGGCCATGCGAATATTCTGAGTTGGTGCATGGGCAGGATCATTTGGTCAACTGCCCAATCAAGGGAAGATGTGATCTAAATCATTCGATGATGACACGACTATGAAAGATTATGATAAAATAGGCTAAAATTCACCTTCAAATATCTATAAATAATACCTAGCACCACACATTTGGGAGGGGGGAAAATCAATTTAAAATCCTCAAATCATAGAGAATTATAAAGCTATAATCACTACGTGGGGTGCCAGATAGTTATTATTAATGTTATTCAAGCCATCTTGTTCTAGCGTGCTAATTACAATAAATTAAATTCAAATCACAATTCTGATCAGATAAATGGCCATGAATTTCATGATTGAGAAGTTTGCTGAGGCAGAATTTTGATCTTAAGAGAATTGAGATACATGGAGTTCTTATCCAACAACATCTTATGAAATCAGTTATGAGGCATTTGATGAAGACAAAAATGATGAGTTAAGATGAAAAGGAAGATATAGTTGAAAAAAGAAACTCATATATAGCAATCAAGTTGTATATGATGAATGTCGTCTTAACAAAGGTTTTAAAATAAACCACAAAAGATTTGTTGCTCAAACTAGAGTCATTGCTCATTATCAGGAGCTCTCTAACATACTTTATCAAAAACCAATGTTATATTCATTTTGCATGCAGGTATGTCAATTATATCATATTTGAATCAATTTAACTCAATTAGTCATTATTGGAGAAACATTGACATGATTATGAATGATGAAAATTAGGCATTATTATTATCACTCTCTTCATGTTCATCATATTAATGCTTTTGTGACATTATATTGCATAGAAAATATACAATGAACATAGTAGATGTAAAAAAGCTCACTTCTATCAAAATATTTGATTTCTAAACTTGATGGAGTTGACAAAGAAATATAGGGTGGGAAATTGCCCATGATGATAAACCTTTAGAGACAAGTTTACATGTAGGAATAAGATTAATTCTATCCTGTAAAGCATTGAAACATTATCAACATATAATACAAGACATTAAAGAAGAGAGAACATCATACATGTGAAAGTCATTAAGAGGTAGAACTACAGATTCAAATATGATTGATTAGATTATGATGATAGGTATGTTTTCGACTTAACATGTTCTATTTGTATGTCATGACAGATTATTATTTTCAAGTTATAAATCATATAATAATTATGTATGTATGGGAAATAATGTGTGTAAGATTGCAGGTCTTAACGTTGTTGTTTGTACTGGAATACATGATGTTATGGCTAGGACTTTGCCTAGGATGAGCCATGTGCTTGATCTAAGGATGAATATTGTGTTATTGAGGGCTTTGAGTGATGTAGAGCAGATATTCTATGGGGGTGTTGAGATCCTCAAGATTTGCAAGGGATCTTTAATTGACATTAGAGCTAGAAGATTGCTAGCGTTGCATGGTGCAACTTTTTATGAGGTACTTCAATTATTTTTTCGCCTACCAATAACCATGGAGCAATCCATAAATTTATATAGTGGGGCACTTCAACTTTATCATTGGGGAGTAGCACATTGGTGAAGATCAAGGATCCTCATTAGTTCACAAATTGAATTCCTTCAACTTGTCCATGGTACATCAAAACCGTCGAATCAAAGTCCTCTTAATCACCCTGGCACTAAAAGCCTGCATCACAGTATGCCAAGGAGTCGTCCCAATAGCAGCCACTGCATCCAGCTCGATCAGTTCCGCAAGGATATAGAGAGCTGGGATATGGCGTACATCTAAACTTTCAAGGAAAAGTAGAGATCAGATCATCCTAGAAAACATTACAAGAAAAAAACAAGTGATTCCTTTAACTATTCCATAATTCCCAACTCTTAGAATTCTATAGTTTGATTTATCTGCCATAAACAAACAAAATCTCTGACACTAAAGGAATAAAATACATATTTCAAACATCTGACCATCAAGCCTGACGTGATGAATAATGCCCGACGTATAATTCAAAAGCCCTTCAAACGGATACAACTGGCTGTACACCACAGCCTTTCCATGCCGCACAAATGTATACTTCCCGCTCTCCTCCCCGTACCAAACCTCACTTCCCACCGACGACGGGTTCAGCGGCTTCACATTCTTCCCTATCACCGCATCCCCTGCACCCATAATACCTCCACAATAAAAGAAAATCCAAAAAACATTGGAAAACAGAACATAGTCCAAATCTAATAAGAGTGAGAATCGCACCAGTGACCCACGAAATCCACATCGAAGTCGATGAAAAGGAAGCAGCCAGAGCGATTTGCTCGGGGAAATTTGACCGGACCTTCTTGGCAAGCCTGGGATCTTCCATGGGCACATCTTCACTACCGCGGCGGAGGGACGGATCAAACCGGCGAGTTTCCGGCGAGAACGGGCCGTCAAGAGTGGTGGGAATCTGGCTCTTCGAGTATGAGAGGCACGAGACGACGAGGACAAAGGCGAGTTGGAGATCGAAAGAAGTCATCGTCATAATCTTCTCTCGATGGAGAAGTCCGGAGGTAGTGCAGCATAACTGGTAGAATATTCTGGTGAGGAATGAGATCCATCTCCATCAAGATGGCGAGAGATGTGCGCGCGAAGGCTGACTTTTGTACCTGCCGGAAGCAGAAGGTCAAAATCCGCTGCGAAGAAGATAACAGGAAACGAAAGGAAATTGACGAATGAGAATAATCCACGTCTCCATAACGCAAGCAAGCTATGTGGACTCAGCTTGCGCGATATGATAAGACTTCTTTCGTCGTACAAAGATTAATAAATTCTGTGGAAGAATAATAATAATAATAATTTATTAATTAACAGTAATTAAAATAGTATTATATTTTAAACGCGACAAAGAATTTTAAATTCACTTTAAATGAAACTCATTTATTTAACCAATATTTAAAATTTCGTTTAGGATTCAGATTTTTTATGGTCACAAGCTTTTCCGGCACGAATCTTGAGGCATTTTAATTTACAAATTTTTTAAATTAATTTCAAGATAATTTTAACTCTGATTTCAATTAATTGGTAGTCGAATTTAATATTTTGATGGGAGAAATCCAACAACACTAGAAATGATCCAGTCCAAACCCAAGGAAGCTCAAATAAAGAGTCTAAAGCACAATAGGAAACTTCAGGTGATGTGGGAACATTTTAGCCTATCTTATGCTTAGAGACTAGTTTATCTCCTTTAGTCTAGAGTCTTCTATTTGCTCCCTTAAATATGTATAATGTATGGGTTTTGAGGCATTGAATGATATATACACCTTTTGAAGCTTGAAAAGCTTTCTTCTTCTTCCCTGGATTGGGAACTCCTTGAAATCCTTCTTGCAGGTTTGATCTTCCGACGATCCACTACATCATCAGGACTCTAATGTAATGATCAAATGCGATTAAATTTCACATGTTTGCGGTCAAATCTACGTAGTGAGATAAAATGCTTGTTTTTATTGTTATTCTATAGTCGAATCGAGTATCTCAACTAGACAAATCCAACGAACCCAAGTTCGCTTAATTGTGGCCTTATTAAGACACTTAAATGTTAAATATATATTTTATGATCGAGGAAATCACTATGAGCTAGAGGTGTAAGTGAGTCGAACCAGTTCATGAGCCAACTCGAGCTCAACTGATCAACGAGCTCACGAGTCCAACTTAATGGGTCATGAGTACAAGCATGGGTAGGTCGAGCTCATATATTAAACAAGCTCGAACTCATCTTAGCTTGACTCAAAGCTCTTTTAGCCGCTCAAATAATTTAAGATATATTTAATTTTTACTTTAAATTGGATTTTTTTTTTTACATTTTAAAAAAAAATTATACTAAAAATAATTTTTTTAAAACTACATTTTTTTAATTTCAAATTAAGATTTAGAGTTCAATAATAGAGTCAAGCTTAAGATTTCCAAACGAGCTTGAGCAATCAAATCAAGAGCAAGCCTATACAATTTTTAACTAGTCGAACTCGAGCTCAGCAAGAACCAAACAAGCTTAGCTCTAGTCAACTTGTTTACACCTCTAATATGGGTCATCCTATGAAGTTTCCTTATCATTGTCTTAACCTGAAATACAATATAGAATACATGCGAG